TATTCTACTTTTAAAATCATCTTAACTTATAAAAAATAATTTATTGTATTTATAAGTTGTTTATTTCACATTAGATACATAAACATTCAGCATAATATTTATTAACCTAATGCGATTAAATGGTTTTGTAAGTCAAACCTTTCTGAAGTACATTAAACATTATTATTTCTATAATGAATTTTGCTAATCATTAATTTATATTATTTTATTATCTTTATAATCATTTGCTTAGTGTATAAACTAATAATTTGATATAAAATATTTTTGGAGCGGTCCATCTAAAAATGTGATCATTAATTGTAAAGTCACTTTCGTATATTATGTAATAAGTACCAAATAACTAAATAAATAACCATTCTATAACTATAATATATATTTGTTCTCCATCATCTAAAATATAAAACATTTAAGTTGTTTATACTGGTCCCAAGTATTAGAATAATTAAAACTTAACTTTCTCTTTTTAACCACACAATAAACAAACTCGAAATATTTAAATTTTAAACACTTGTTTTTGCATATTTTATTTAAATATACAATATATTATTAGTGTGACATAACGTATATTTATAATAATTAATAACCATAATCATTAATTTGGTTTAGATATATATTTGCTTTACATCATCTTATTCAATAAATGTTAAACAATATTATTTAATTCTCTTTAAGTTTTGATTGTAGACGTCAGTTTTGATCTTTATTAGGTGTATTAATTTTATTTTGTTTTAAAAAAAATTATTGTATACTTATGGTTTACTATTTTATTTGTTATTTGATGGATTTATTTTTTATTAGTTTTTTCGTTTTTTTTTTGTTTTTTTTTTTTATAGCAATTACAATCGGCCGACTAGGTTATGTGTGCCCTCAAGACGTCGCCCCGCTGTTACAACAGTTTGTACGCATGTGGTGTGTACCAATTATTTTTTTTTACTTTTTTTATTACTTATTTATAATATATTTTTATTATTTATTATATTTATAATTTTATAATTTTAATTGATTAATTATAAACTTATTACATACATATTGGATTGGGGACACAAAATGTGCATCTTATTTACTAATAACAAATATTTATGAATAATAATTTTTAACTGTTTTTTGAGCAATGCTAATATTATTTTTGTTCTAGGTGTACCTCATTACGTAATATCCGAGACAATGATGAAAAAGATAGTGCATTTAGAGGTATGTGTCAAATGATAAGTCTAAATCCTGGCGGTGTAGTTCAAGATTTCATATTCTTCTGTGATGCCATTGCTTCGTGGATAAATCCTAAGGATGACTTAAAGGATATGTTTTACAAAGTTATTATTTATTTTATTCTTACATAGATGTGCATTTTAAATTATTTAATTTTATGATTATATATTTAAACTAAAATTTTTATTTAGATATTGCATGGATTTAAAAATCAAGTAGGGGAAGAAAATTGGACTAGATTTACGGATCAATTTCCTCAACAGTTGAAAGAACGCCTATCAACTGCCTATGGAATCTAAGACAACTCTGTGAGTATTTTTTTTTTCATTTTTTGCTGAATTAAAAATATAATTAATAATTTACTTATGTTTGATTAGGAAATTTGGGGCGCAACATGGGTGAATCCGGCGTTGCATCTTTTGGGGTTTTTTCAAACAGGCTTCGTGCCGAGACCTGGCTCGTCTTGTAGGACCTGCGGGAGGGATGGGAGGGGGGATTATTACAAAATCAATAATACCTAACAAAATTTTTTGTTTTAATGTTCTAAAATTTGTTTCATGTGATAATTTTTTCACAACCATATTTCATCAATTTTGTCAATTTAGAGTGATACAACTGTTTGTATGATCAAATTTTATAAACTATTATTATTTTGTCTTCTACAGTTGGTTATTATTATTATTATTATTATTATTATTAATAGTTTTTTTTTATGTTTACTTAATCAATTAAATTATTTTGTATTTGTAGAATGCTTGATAACTGTTTTTTTTTAGTAGCATCAGGCCTATTAAACCAAAATTCTTGAATAATACTAGTCGCCCATTTGTTAATTCCTTTTTTGTTTGGGCTTTTAAATTCCTTATAGAATTTAATCCTCCATTATTCATTAATTCCTTAAAGTTCCTTTATTACCAACATTCCAGAGTGGATCCCTCTTCCTTTTTCCTTATAGACATGACCATCATTTTGGGAAACAAGTATTTTGGAATAACTTATTACTAAACATTTTACTAATTATCATTCACTATTGATTAACATCATAATGAAATCAGTTTCTAGTCTGATGTTTTTTGTAAACTATCTTCATTGTAATTATTGTATTTCTTTTTTTAAACAAAATGTTATTATTTTATTACTAAATTAGATAAATTAATTAATTATTTGCTATTATGAGTTAATTTTGTTGAATATGAAGGCCTGTTTTAATTTTACATAATATATTAAGTTACAAAAGCAATTGATCTTATATAAACAATTATAATATATGACTTTCAAGACTATTTAATCTTATTTATTATAAAATCATTAGCATATTTTTATATACTCGTGTATTTCACTATAATAAATGTTTCTTGTTAAATAGATTTTTATTAATATCTGTTCTCAAATTGTTGACATTAAATTAATTATGAACCTTAGTGCAGCGGTTTCCTACCTTTTATGTGAGTGACATTAACATTTTTAATTTAACTCTTAGCAATCACTCCCACTAAAAAAAAATTTTCATTAATTAACATTAAATTGGTAAATATGTATATTTGTCTGTCTTCAAATACCAAAATAAATGTATACTAGTAACCTATACCAAAACTACAATAAGGATGCATCAAGACTCGTCCGCCGCCTAGCATTTATGTTACCTATTTTAAATTATTTTCTCCCTTGATCTTTTTATTATCTGAATATTTTGGGAATTTTTTTTCTCGAAAATAGAATGAAGTTAATAATTATATGTAAATAATGTTTTTACGACCCGACATTGTGAACCTCTGCCTTAGGATAGAAGTATTGAAAGCATAACAATCTTGGAAAAAATTAGTTGTCACTGGATACTGAGGTTCTTCTCATATTGAAAAGAGTATAAAAACTGTTTACATTATTTAGCGTCATAATTCATAATATAATACTGATCACTAAATAATTAATTAGTCTTTGAGCTGTTCTTACAATGTCCGGACACAACCTTCAGAATTACGCCGGCAATAAAATCTATTATCAGCCAGTTAAGTTAACTGACCCTTAACTGGATGTTATAAGAACCAGCCTTAGATACCCAAAGAATTCAATTATTAATAACTTATTAAATTATCAAAATATATTTTACTATATGTTTACATTCATATCATAAATCAGATCTATTACCATTGTTAGTTTAGTCACAGCTTAGGTTTTATGCTAACTAATATGTCCTGCCTGCATTTCTTCACAAAAGTTTGACCTCGAGTAATTTAGTATTACAGAAGGCATTATGATATTATATCCTCACCAGCCCAATAATTATAAATTGTTTATGTATGTATCAAAAAAAAAGAAATTTGATGGCTAGATCCCCCACCTACCAATATATATTGTAATTATATACATTGAAAGCGCTATAGTTGTGATTTTCCTTTATGCTGAACAGCTTATATTTGGTAATTAACTGTGCGCATATTTCTAGAGACTAATACTTTTTCTATACGGCGTTGAGTAACCTGTAAATCTGAAATTGTAATACTAAGTAATAATATACAATATATTCTATATTTCAAAGTACGCTGTACATCATACTCGTCTTATCGTAGATTACTGATGAATTTTTTTCGATTCATAATGACTTGTATGTTGTATCACGGTTTGTAATGGCTCTAGGGCCAGTTATTATTGACCAGCAGTCGGCCCTAAACTACTTTAAAATCTGTGGTTAGGGAGATGCATACTCCTGTCCCCCCTCCCAAATGAAACACATTTTTGGTCATATTGTTAAATTATTAAATAATGACATGTAGGTACACTAAGCAGTTACAGTGGATTCCTCCTAATGTTGGCACCAGTTGATATGAGCAAAGTGGTCTGTTCCCAATTCTAATATTTACTATTAAGGTTATTTCGGTTTGTATGGCAAACTGCTTACTTCATGTGGACAAATGAGTTTGATCCCAACGTGTCTACATTAAGCAGAATTCACTGTATTTATTTTAAAACGAATGTCATTGATAAGTCAAAATACTCGAATGTTGATATTTTTTTACATATTTTGTGCTTGTTATATATGCACAGGATACAATTACTACATATTACGACAATTTTAATTGTGATAATAAATGATTTCAAATACAAAATAGTAAATTTATATATTTATATTTTATATTATCTTATCAATGTAACAGGTATGGTTAAACTATATTAATCATTTATAATTTAAAAAAACACGTGTTACAATGTATTGTCGTGGTAATGTATTTAGTATTTACATTACATAAAATTATTAAAATGTATAACAGTTAATATATTAATATTATTTAATATTATAATGCTTTTAAGTTATATATTAAACTGAAGTATTGAAAAATAAATTTAATTATGTTAGTTAATAATATTAAATTGGATATTAATAATTAATTCTTATTAATGACTAGAAGTGAGCCACAACCCAAAGGAACAAGATTAATAGTAAAAAGTTGCTAAAGATTATTACAAATTAGTAAATCACATAAATGAAATTGACACATAGTTGTTTTAGTTAAAATAATAGAAGGTCAGTTGAATTATTTTCGTAAGATGAAAAAATGTTACTTATAAGTTAAACATATAATATATAAAAGTAGTAAAAAAATAAAAATAAATAACTGTCTTTTAACTGAGACATTTATGAAAATTAGAGTTGAGTTGAGTTGAGTTGAGTGTTCAATATAAATATAATATGATTCGTTTTAAGTTATTTTTAAATTACAATTTGTATCAAAAATAAGACAAATATTCTTAAAATAAAATATTTTAAGCAATGCTCCTTTGCATTATTAAATCTTTTATAAAAAAATAAATATTTACAATTATGTATTATATATAATTGAGTTTAAGAACAATGAATTATATTTGGGTATCACAGATATGACTATTTTTTTTTCCACACTTGAACATCACTACTGACATATCCGACAACTAAAGTATCATTTTGGTAGTCAATCTATAAATAAAATACATTTTTTAAGTATAAAAATCATCATAATTCAAAGATCTACTCTTACTGAAGTTATTTCTGAACCGGAATCAACAATTTTGGTTATAACTTTAGGAGGATTTGTTGGAGTTAAAATGTAAACAACTCCTTCATTGCCCCCAGTTATAATACTGCCGTAATTAGTACATTTAATGCAATTAAGCTTGTAGTTACGGCAATTATTTAAAGGCTTTGCAAGTTTTACAGTCTAGAAAAAATTGCATTGAGGTAATTAGAAATAATATTTTGAATTAAAATACAAAATCCTACCTCAAGAACATTATACAATCCATGTGAACAGTCCAACCAGTACATACAATCTCTATTATCGCCAATAAATAGAATATTGTCATAGTAAGAAGCACACATTGGAAATCTACTGCCCTGCTGCAAAAAAGTAAAAAAAATTAAATAATTATAGATACCTAATAATTGTAGTAAAATGTTTACAGTGAGGTTCATTTACTTTAGAGAGGTACATAGATTTAACATTATTATTTGTACGCAAATCCCAAACAGATACAGTTTTGTCTTCACTCAGTGATATTAAATAATTATCTTCTATTAAGCATAAATCAATAATACTACGTGTATGAGAATTTAATAGTTCAAAGAGTCGTTTTTCAGGTTCTCGGGGATCAAATGCAATTATCTTAGGACAATAAAGTCCAGCAGCAACAAAATTTTCTTTGCTTGTAATTGACAACACAGCTGCATCAGTACTATACAAAAACCAATAGTATTCATAATTAAATAACTAAAAACAAATACAAATGTATTATTAAGTTGCAATTACCTAAATGTGTGTATTGGTAGTGATGATGACGTGAAGTTGCTCGTATTCCATAATTTGACTTTTGAATCCCAAGAACACGATAAAAAATGATCTTCATCATAAATTCCTAAATCCCATACCCATCCTAAATGGCTGTCTACTTTGTGTACAACAGGGTTATCTACTGCACCCGTCGTGTTCCACATGCATATAGAACGATCTCTAGATGCAGACATGCAATGATTACCATCCTAAAAATATTTTCGATAAGTGATACAAATTTTTGATGGTTTTGTTAACTTAAAATGTATACTTTTGCCATAATGACGGCATCCACTTCAGAAAAATGAGCTCCACTAAAAACAGTGGTAGTGGTTTTTGTCTCATATTGGCTCCAACAACTGTCTTCCAATTCTGCGTGCCAGGCAAATTGCTTCCAATTAAATGTGTTTTCTGTGAAATGGAAACAAACAAGAAATACCAAAATGTATTTTCTACACCAATGCACATTGACGGCCTCCTAGCCTCACCATTGTAAGCGCTTGTCAACATGAACGCCACATTGCAATCGTTAAATTTACCAATTGCTCTTTTCTTCCACAGGTAATTGTCACTGATTATGTCGTAGAACTGTTTGTTGACATACATCAATGACCTAATCAAAGTGTCAGCATCGATGCGTTCACAAATCATTAGGAATACCTAAGGGGTAAAAATGTCAATATTAGTGAAATTATGATTTACAGCACTCTGCAAAGCCAATGAGCTCTACAGTTCGTTGCAGTGCAGGGCTGTGAAAAGACCAATGGCTGAACAACTATAATATTGTAGACGTTACAACTAGTTAGTTTAATAGATGCACTCATTGTCTAATGTATGATCCAACGTTTGTATCGGAATGTCTATCAGGTGAGGACATACGACAACAAGTACACGTGCACAAAGAGCATGTCACACCATTCTCCAGACGTTTCAAATGACTAATATTAGAGACACACACTGTTGATGATATACCTATTCAAATATAATTATGAAACATCTCCCTGCTTCCCTCTCAATTCTGAATGTCCTCCCTACACACCCAGTAAAGTACCTACCTACTTAAGTCGTGCAATTCGTTAAATTCGACCCCCCAACACAAATCAAATAATCCCACACTGCGGGCGCTTTCTGCTCGTCATCCATCCTAAAAACGACGTCCATGTGTTTACCTCGATGGGGAGCGAATCCAACGAAATCGTAGATGGCGTTCCGGCCGCAGCGGCTCCCTCGGGTAAACTCATTTCAGATCGGTACGTAGCAGGTACAGGTGGGCTTTGCAAAGGGCAGATACTTAGCGAGTTTGTGTGCGGATCGGACAGGACGGTCGTTCGCGTACGATGTTCGGCGGGCTTATGATCCGCAAATATCTATTCGGGTCAGCCTCGAAAGGAAGTCTCGAATGTACGTCGTCCGACGTCCATCGACATTTATTCGGTCGTCGGCCGACCGTCAAGGTTTGTGGTCCGTGACGACTGACGAACTGAGACGTCTGAGACCCGAGTTACTCTCTATGGTGCTCAGTGACTAGTGAGTAGTGAGTACTGAGTAGTCAATAGGTACTATGTAATTAGTGCCTTGTACTGACAACTTTACAACTTGATAAACTGATAACGATATAACATGAAATTGAGTGAAGCACGATCTTTGGACAGTTGGAAAATCTTCGTGATGAAAAATGATGTGAAATACCTAGTAAAGTTTTAGGTTTATACTATGCAGTCAAACGTAAACGAAACATTATGATTTATGAGGTACCCGCCACGGCGGCACAGCTGATGGCGGAACAGCTGATGCCTGATACATAATTTCGTTTACTTACATATTTACATCGTTACAACTTTAAAAGCAAGCATTAATTATAATTTATAATAGTATACCTACCTAATGTGTTGGTGTGACAGTAATTTCAAATTTTGTTTTTGTGTTATTATATTATGTACTTACATGTCTACATTGGCCACATCAAATCGGTGTTTTAAGGAATTTATTTTAATGCCCTAAAAACTAAAATGTCATCAGTAGTGCTCAGATATATAAGTGTTATGTATGATCTAAAACCATTCTAAAAATAGCCTTAAGTGCACTAAAAAATTGCTTTTTGGGCGCACATACTATTACCTAAAAATATATATTTTTATTTCACTACCTACAAAAACTTAATTTATATTCAATTTTTCAATGAAGTTGAATAGTTCTTATTTCTAATACTAAAATATTAAATATTTTGGCGACAAATTGGAAATGACTAATTTGCGTCTGGCAATGATTTAATGGATGATTGGTGTACAGAATTTTGGGGCTAATATACTTTCTTATTATTAAATATTAATTATACGTACCTGGTGGCTGGGCCTATAGCCCCCACCTCTCCCGAAAATTTAAGAAAATAAAAATATTATATCTAGGCGGTTCTATTTAAACCATAGAATAGTAGTATTACTCTATAATTTAAACCAATTCTGTGTAAACACATTATCATTTATCATCCCCTCCTAATCTTGGGTACGTCACTACATTCTGAACATAAAAATAATGAAATTTAAATTATATCAAATTCTACGTTCGACGATCCAATTATCTATTCTGTGATCCAACCTTCAAATACCTATAGGTATATCTGTTGAATAATTCCCTATGAGCATTGCATTTAACCTAACCAAATGTCTTGAGATTTTTTTTTAATTACCTACCTAATTTAACGATAAAAATCATAATTCATAGACCTACAACTTATAGGTACATAGACCTAATTATAGACGTAAACTAATTTATAGATCAATGCTAGTTGCTATAAACTCAAGAAATAATAGTAAATGTGCTCTAAAAATTAAAAAGTATCGTAATGGCTGGGATAAATTAAATACTCTATATTTATAGTTTCATATATGTGATGTGTGTAGACGTGTAGTTCAGTGTTCGGAACGATTACTAAAAAAATGAATTCGTTCAAGTTCACCTTCAATCCTTAAAAAAGGAACTCGTTCACGTTCACGTTCATTGAAAAAATAAATGAGTTCACTGGATCGTTCATTCATTTTTTTTATAATAGTAATTATAATAAGAAAATATTATTATAATATAATATAATTAATCAATATATTTTAAACATACATTTACTAAATGGTTAATAAATTGAGCCGTCTTAAAAATCGTTAAAATATAAACGTCGTTTAATTTTGAAAAAAAACGACTGACGTTCGCCTATCGTTCAGTGGACATGAACGACATTCTCTCCAAAAACTTGTGTAGTTGTAATAATTAAAATATAAAGCTCATCTGCAGTCGGTGACAAATTATGACGAAGAAGACCTTACTATAATTTTATTTTCCGGTAGTAAAACCACAGACCACTATAATGCATTGTATTACATAGAAGACAGTGTGCTGGTTTAAAATAATTAAAAAAAACAATTATGGACACTGACATTAAACCAGTTATCATCGCATTATTCAACAACTTTGTTATTATTATTAACTTTGGCCATCACTTTGATCGAGCATCATTATAATAAAATGTTTTATTCATATTATGTCTTATTATAAGGTCTATCGTCTATGGTTTTATTGCATTTTATTTTCATGAGTTGTAGGTATATCATATGTGACTGAATATTGCTTTGTCACAATGTGCCCTTGGAAATTGGTAATTCCTAATCCCACATGATACTTAACCATGTAGTTGTAGGTATTCATGTTTTTAGTTTTAAACAATGAACATTACAGGAATTTTCACAGAAAATAGATTGTATTAATTGGTCGATAGTATTTTGTCAAGACAGTTTAATTTGTTAGCTCAAGAATTGATTGAATGTCAGCTACTCGAATTGAGTGATTATTTCATCGATAAATAATAATATATCATATTACAAGATGTACAAACAATTTACTATTTTAAAACACTCATAATTAGCTTTAAAATTAAAATATTATAAAAAGCTTACGTGATGCCCCAGTTCTAACCTTTAAATTGTATAAGAGGCCTAATTCACTCTTATTTATAAACTAACGGAGCTAAAAGTTATCTGTCGATTTGGTATGTTCCTCACTTGTAAGATGGAGACAACACGTGTGTTTGCTGAGTCCTCTAAGATAGAAGATAATGTATTGGGATACTATTACGGCGTTGTTATTTAAAGCCAAAATTATTACGTCATCTCTCATCAGCATAGGTACCCAATGATGTATTAGGAGATATAGGGGGTCTTGGAAAATATGGAGTATAAAGGATCTGTAGCTTCCTCGAGGTACTACAGCTAGTAATGAGACATTTTCTGAGTAGCTGTATTTAGATGGATCGAGGAAAAAATATTTTTAAGGTAGAATTTTACCAGAAGGTAATATGGGACAGGGAGGAATTTATTGTGTTTGAATAGTAGGTTCTCCTTCCTTCCTATAATTATATTGTATAAAATAAAAATAATAAATTAGATAATATACTTATATAATATTTAATGAAAATTAAATTTGATAACATTTAGATCCTACAGTAAATCAATCTTATCTAATAATTTTTCACATTTAATCAATCTAGATGCTGTCTTTCGTTGTTTTTTAGCATTGGCCTTTTGTAATTTTTTCAGTTTTAAAACGCCAGGTTGTAAATCAATTTTTGTTTCTGAAGGCTCTGATTTCTTCTTTTTCCTCCAACGTAATTTTCCAGATTTTTTTGCTTGTACGCCATCATCAACTACTACCATCGACTTACCATCTACATCCATTGTATCTGTTTTCACTCCTTCACCGGTTGATTCAGGTTGTAACTTGGCAAGTTCTTCCATAAATTCTGTTTCTATTCGTTGCACATTATCCAAATTAAATACATCTGTTACATTAGTAACAATTTGTGCGCTTAAGTGGACTGCTTCGACTTCAGGTGGAAGGGTGTGATATCTTATTTTGCCTCTAAAATAAAATGTTTATTTTTATATTAATAACAAATTATTAGTCTATTTAAATATTCCAATACAGTTGGTCTTAGTTAACTCGAAGTTGAAGGGACTGGCCAAATAGTACAAGCTATCCAAGGATAAAAAAATAATAGACAATTCTAGACTAGGAAAAAATTTAAGGTATCGACGATTTCAAGTTAACCTGCAAGTTCATTCAACTGTACATACCGATTCCAATCTTCAACCAAGCTACGGGCTGATGTAAATATATCAGGGATTCCACCACGACCTATATTTCCAAACCGTCTAGCTTTTAAATACAAAAAGTGTTCACATGAATCATATTGTCCAATTCCATATAACTTTTGCATCTATTCAAAACCAAAATGTATTTAATTATTTATAAAATATATTAAAATAATGAATGAGGATGAAATTAATATTCAATTACAATCAAGTATAACGAATGAATTCTTTTTAAATTTTTTATCATACAGAAATATTTTTATATTAGATAAACTTGATAGTTGGTCATATACTCATATCCGAAGTAGGTATCTAAAATATTTAGATACAGACTAATGGAAAATATGCCTACTTGCAGTGTTGGGAAGTAAGGTAACATAACAAAAGTAATGTGTTACAGTATTGTTTCTTTAATTGTAATTGTGTTAGAATAGTTTAGAAGCAACGTTTAAAATAATTTATGTTGGATTACTGTTTGCATCGAGAATTAAAAATTTGTTTTTAATTAACTGGAAAAATCTATAATACTCTACAAACATTTATAATGGGTACACATTAATTTTAAATTTTAAGTAATCACAATTATATATTCAATACTTTAGGCAACATATGTGATTGCATACATATACATTTTTATTACACACCAACATGATTGTAAATTGACAAGAAATGAGAGAAATATCCAAGTAACCTGTTTTTTAAGAAAGTTACTTTAGTGATTGAAACTCATATAATTAAAATTATATTTATATAGTGAGAAATGTAACATACCTAACACTGCTTAAAAGTTAAGAGTACACCACAAACAGTACAATAATTATTCAGGACTAATTGAAACGAGTAATAGTAGAATCATTGCTTTCTCAGAATTTAACTGTAGGTAAAACGACTAAGAAATGTTCATGAGTTCAATAATATTTTTAATTTGTAGTCAGAAGTGATACTCAGTATTTAGCTTACATAAATATAATTTATTACCTGATCTTTAGTTACACGTCCCACAATTGTAGCAGCACAAGCAATAGGATCTTCAATATTTCCAGAACTTACAACATTTTTCAATCCTACGCTATTGGTAGTAGATGCTTTGTCTAAAACTACACCTGGACAATCTAATAGTTTAATATGTTTATCCAACTGAATTTCTTGCATGTTTCTAAAATTGAATTTTTAAATCAGTTAGTTTAACCAGCAATTTGAGCAATCTATTATATTTATATGTAATATATACAAGCAAATAGCACTATTTTGTTCCATATTAATCATTAATAATTAAATTATTTTGTACGCATTAAACATTTAAAATGAAATATCAAAAATATTGCTAAATTATTGCTCAAGTATAGTAATATTAAGCTCAAATTATAATACTTGGTTACACCAGGGACAGCTCCAACTTGACACGCTCTGGATCTTTTCAAACTATTAATCAAACTACTTTTACCAACATTTGGCATACCTAAAACATGTTATATGACATAAAGTTTTAACAAAAGAAATATACATACATTATGATGATTAACAACTGTAATTACAATTTAATGTATATTTTATTATTTTCTTTACCTACAACACCTACAACAATTGATGTTTTCATTTTGTCACTACGACAGTAATTTGCTAAAAGTGTCATCACTAATTCTGCACCAACACATAGACTTATAGCTTTTTCAGTATCTTTTTTACACTTGTTCATTTTTCTATGACCAATTCGTGAACCAGCTTGTTGAGTACTAGCTTTAAATGGTACTGCTGGGGTTCCTAATTGTCCTCTAAAATAGGCCAGCCAATCACGGACTATTTCAGCTGGGACTAAGTCGGTTTTATTTAATACTACAACAAGTTTTTTTCCCAAGTCTTGAGCTGATTCCGTCACTCGTTTACATCTGGTGCCTAATGGATCACGTGCATCAACTACCTCCAAAACAACATCAGCAGCGCTAACCACCTAAACAGTTAATTACTTAATTTAATAATCATTAAGACATAACATATAATTTAAATAAAAAAACAATACTTTTCTGAATTCATCTTTAAAAGTCTTATTATCCAATTTCACAACATTTTTATACCCCGACTCTTCTTCAACATCTTCAACTTCAACAAATCCAGCTTGCATTGATTCAGTTTTTTTTACAAATTCAGCTAAAGTCTGGGATAAAGGAAGCGGTTCGGTTATTTTCTCAGGCTTCTTAGGCGCAGAAGCTTTTTGAACATTTGCTGTTCGTATTGATTCTAATTTTTTTCCTATCAATTGTCAAATTACATCATAAAACATACAACTGATTATTTATTTGTATAACAATTATTTTTATTTTTAAAAGTAGTACATGTATAATAATATAGTAATACACCATAATACAATAAGTCATTGTCTTAATAATATTTTAGTAATTTAAAAAAAGAAGTGACAAACCTTTTTTCCATTTCAAAAATGCTCTTCTATTTTTTGATTTATCTAAGTTATAAATAAATTGCATACATTTAAATTAATACAGATACATTTAACAAAGTGGATAATGTTAAATAAATATAATATACATACTAGCTTTTTCGATACCCATACTGCAGCCAAATTTCAAATTGGTGCGAAAATATTGAAAGTGAACAATTGATGTGACATGCAGAATACAAACTACTAACTATAGTTACTACGACTTAGACCGTGGGCTAAATTAATAAAAATGTGCTCATAAGTCATATTGATAAGGGTGGTCAAGTTTTTTATCACAGTATAACTTGTATTCGTAGCATTTTACATTCGGAGCAATATAATATTGTTCTATGATAATATGTTCGGAGCATTATTTTGTCGTTGATGTGAGTTATCGTAGCAGTTGTAGCAACCCGTCAAAAACAACAAATTCCGCCAAAAAGTCAGTCTTATCTGTATTTTGTCTTTTTAACATAGATAATATACACGGGTTAAGATATACATATATATCTTAAACAGCGACAATGTATTTTTTAACATTCTCCTTATCATTCGTTAGTATGCCACTATGCCAACAAAAGTAAACAATAACATTAGTATATAAGTTTTATAAACTTATCTATGATCTAAGTAATTCCGTAAAATACATATTGTACAAAATGTACTATGTGTCAATGTACATACAACATACTACATAAGTACTAGCCACTTGGCAGAACAATACTCAAAACTGCCGTAGGTGGTTTCATCTCAAACATTTAAAAAATATCATTAATTATTAATAAATAATAATGCCTGTGGATCCGTCTCATTCACAGCGAATCATGATTAATTATGCAAACCATTAATCCTCATCAGTTTAATTTTATTTACATATAACTGAATTTCATAATTAATTTTATATAATTTAACACAAAACCTACAATGACCGACGACGATTTGTGCAAAATGGATGCGTGGGGTTTGCCTGACCAAATCGTAGAAGTAAATATTTTATACTTAAAAGGAAGCTCCAGCATAATTATTATTTTTTTTTGCTCTCTTACAAATGTTGAAATTTACAACATTGAAAAGTTGAATTCAGTTGAACCAATTTTTTCTTGTTAACATTATAGTAAACTAACCTATTATTTAAATTAAAAGTAAGAACATTATTTGTGTTTTAAGTTAGGTTTTTTATGATTTTTTAATTTTTAAATAGCAAACTTGAAAATTGAAATATCTACAAAAACCAGATGTACTAACACAGATAATGTTCTTACCTGAGTTTGATAATATATACGATCACTCTAATATTAAAATTAAAACAACCCAAAATTGGTTTTGTCAAACTTCAATCTTCTATATTGTATACTCTTACCTACATTTGTAAGACAGAATCACACACAAGTGTGGCATCTTAGAGTGTAATACTATATTTTATTTATTTTAGAACTATAAAAAACGAGGAATTGTGTCAATGTTTCCTTGGCAAGTGGAATGTCTAACTAGTGACGGTGTTTTGGATGGACGCAATCTGGTGTACTCGGCACCTACATCAGCTGGTTAAGATTTTACTTATTAAATATTTCATATTTTCTAGATTATCTGTTTTAAGTTTATAGCTATCCTTTTTATTTTATTATATTTTGCTGGTAGTTTATTACTTTTATAAAATACATTTTATTAACCCTTGTTTTTTTCCCAGGAAAAACTATGGTTGCTGAATTATTAACAATGCAAACAGTTCTAGAAAGAGATAAAAAAGTTCTGATAATTCTCCCATTTGTATCTGTTGTACGAGAAAAAATGTTGTATTTTCAAGTAAAATGTTTTTTTTAAAATTATTTAACAGTTGTACTCAATTAATAGTCAATAATAATAAATTATTTTATATAGGAACTATTTGAAGGAACAAACAAAAGAGTTGCTGGATTTATGGGCAGTTATACTCCGGCTGGTGGATTGCGTTCTGTAAATGTTGCTATTGCTACTATTGAAAAAGCCAATGGTATAATAAATCGGTAAGCTTAATAGTAAAACTAATGTCTATACAAATTAATGGCAATGATTTTGATTTTAGCTTGATTGAGGAGGATGGACTGCAAGATGTTGGTTGTATAGTTGTAGACGAACTACATATGCTCGGCGATTCAAATAGAGGCTACCTACTAGAATTATTGCTAACAAAAATCAAATACATGTCTAAAATGTAAGTACATAAAATAAACATTAAGATCATATTTTATGTTTATTTACCTATGAATATTTTTTTTTTTTAATATTTGATTACAGAAGAAGTAATTTATCAATTCAAATTGTTGGTATGTCTGCTACATTGCCAAATTTAGACATTCTTGCAAAATGGTTAGATGCTACACTGTTTCATACAGATTTTCGTCCAGTTCCTTTAAAGGAATATTTAAAAATTGGAAAAAATGTATATAATGCCAAGAATCTTTCTTTAAGTCACACAATTAAACCAAGTGTTGAAATTAAAGTAATGAACAATAAACAATTGTATTGTTTAATTTGTATTTTATTACTTTACCGTACTTCTTTTTTTAAAGTTTTATGTAGTTATGTATATTGTAAACTATGGCAAAGTCAAAATTTAGAGGTTGGACCAGGGCTGGCAGCAAGTATAGGGAGCCATTACTTTTTATATAGTTAATGGCAAGGTTGTGATCGGATCTGTTATCTGTAGATAACTGGTAGTCATCCTGAAAAAAATTTCAAAAAATAGTTATTACATCTTAATATAGCTTAAAGACAATTAAAAGGGTAGTGCAATGGAGCTTTGTGCAAATGTGTAAAAATCTCAAAATAGCAGAGTTCAAAACCAAGTTTGACCTCCAAATTTTGACTTTACCATTGTCTTATGTATATCTAACAATATGAAATCAAGAAAAAAAATTGTAAAAAAGAGTAACCTGTAAAGTAACAAAATTCCATTTGATCATATTGTATTTTATATAAATATTTATAACTTTGTCTTTAGAATGATCCAGATGATATAAAGTATTTGTGTATTGATACAATTCTTCAAGGGTATTCAATATTAATATTCTGTTTTACAAAAAAGTGGTGTGAATCTTTAGCTCTTGAAATTGCGTCTGAAATTAAACGTTTAGGTAACTATGTTTGTTTTTTTTTTTTTTAATGATAATTAAAATAAAATATTACTTAATAATTGTTATTAATTAAAGGTGGAGATAATAAATCAAAAGTTGGAATTGATTTACGAAATCAATTAAATGGTGAAAATCTAGGAGATGTGTTGGAGCAGCTTAGGAGGTGTCCCGTTGGTCTTGAAACTGATTTAAATAAAACCATATCATTTGGTGTTGCTTTTCATCATGCAGGTGATTTTTTATTTTGTTTGCCTTTAATAGTTTTTACACAATTTCTATTTACTGCTTATTTAATTTAAAAATATTATGTATAGACAGTGGCTGGTCTGTGCATGTATTTTACATTTTTGGGAAATGATTTTTTTAAGCAATTCATAATACTATGTTAACATTTTGGACTTAATATTATGTTAAAACATTATAACATTGTCTTCAAACTTGACTGTTATAATAGCATAACTAATTTTGTATTAATTTTTTATTAATATTTAGGCATGTGAAAACTTGAGAACTCACATAGTAAGTCTTAATCTATTCATAATTTTGTTTTTAGGCCTTACAATGGACGAAAGGGACATAATTGAAGGTGCATTCAAGCAAAATATAGTGAGAGTATTAATTGCCACGTCAACTTTATCCTCTGGTGTAAATTTGCCTGCACGGAGAGTGATTGTGAGATCACCGCATTGTCATGGATTTCCTATTGATATTTTACAGTATCGACAAATGATTGGACGTGCTGGTCGCATGGGTGTTGATACAGCTGGTTTGTTGATATTGGGTTTGTTCATTTTTTTGTAGTTTTAAACATTTAATTTTTATTTTAGGAGAAAGTTATTTAATATGTAATGAGAATGAACGGCGAATGGGTGAAGAAATAGCAACTCAAAACCTTCCTCCAATTAAAAGTTGTTTGGGAGTTGGAGATTTTTCTAGCTGTTTAAAACGAGCACTGTTAGAAGTGGTTGCCGGTTGTGTTGTTTGTACTACAGAAGAAGCTTTTGAGTATATTAAGTGTACATTACTTTATATATCAAATGGTGAAAACTGTAAGAATTTGTCATAATAATTAAATGTTTTTAATTTATTAAAAGTTTGATGTTGAATTTTTTTAGTGAATGAAACTCCAATTAATGAGTGTCTAAAATTATTAATCGAACATCAATTTGTACGTGAAAGTGACAATAAACTATCTCCTACTAATCTAGGCCAAGCTTGTCTTGCAGCATCTGTTACACCTGAAATCGGCTTAAAACTGATCAAAGAGTTAGATAGAGCAAGACAGAATTTTGTCCTTGACTCTGAACTTCATTTACTTTATTTAGTGAGAAGATAGATTATTTATAAATGTTTTTGTATAGTTGTAACCTAAATTAAATAATTTATCGTACTTTAGATTACACCATATTCAGTAAGTGATCAGATTGGACATTTGGATTGGTTTAGAGTTCTCCATGTGTGGGAAAAGTTACCACATTCTATGCGCAAAGTAGGAGATATGATTGGTATTGAAGAGGGATTCATTGTTAAAGCTATGACTGGAACCAGTTTTAGTACATCTTCAGATGTATGTTATTGGTTTAATTTTTAGAGAAAATTCTGACAAAAGCTGAAAGTTACTCAAATATTTTAAGTTTGCAATATGTGTTATACAAAAATGTTACACAAATGCAATATTTAATATACCTATACAGCATTAGTGTTGAGAAAGAACCTTAGTAGCGACCAGTTTATGTCTGGTAAGTGGTAGTGGTCATGCAACATCGGTTTTGCACACCCTCTCCCCCAGTCAACGTGGTTAAGCCACGCTCCTGTGTACAAATCAGTTCTTGAGGTTCCTTCTTAACATGAATGGAGTATAGTTAAATTATTTGATACATAATTAACTGATTATTTTTGTATTTAGAAACATAAATTAGCTGTTCATAGAAGATTTTATACAACTCTCCTATTACATGATTTAATAAATGAAATTCCCATTAACACAGTAGTTTTAAAGTATGGTACATCCAAAGGTCTTTTGCAAAGTCTCCAGCAATCATCTTCTACTTTTGCAGGTGAGATTTATCATAGAGTTGATTTTATAGGTTTTATTTTATTTTATTTTGTTTAGGCATGGTAACGCAGTTCTGTAAGAGACTTGGGTGGTCATCCTTAGAATTATTAATATCACAGTTTTCTGAAAGACTACAGTTCGGTGTACAGAGGCAACTTGTTGAGTTGTTACGATTGGACTGTTTGAACTCGATCACTGCCCGGACATTGTATAATGCAGGAATACAAAACATTCCTGAATTAGCATTAGCCGATTTACGATTAGTACAGCGTACTCTTACTAAGGCAATTCCATATCAAAGGTGAGCATAGTTAAATAGCTTATGAGTATATTTAATACTTAAAATTCATTTTTAGTAATATAAATAATAACAATACCAATGATGAGGACAAACGAAAGAACATTTGGTTGGCTGGACGTTTTGCTCTTAATGAAAAAGAAGCTGCTATATTTATCATAAATGAAGCAAGGCATCTTTTGAAGGTAAGATTCAATGTACTAAATAAAATGTTTACTCATCAATGTCAGTCTTATAATTTGAACAATTATTTGAAATATAACTTAAATTAAATATTTAGGCTTAAGAGGACGCCTCAGTGTCATACCAGTATAATAATATATTGTACAGAAGTCTTACAAATGTGTAGTCAGTCTTGTAAAAGATATTTAAAAGTATTTAAATACCAATAGTCATGTCTAATGTTTAAATAAACAAACAAAGTAAATCCAGTTGTTATCGTCACATATCCACACTATCTATTAGCAAAACATCAATCAAATAGTCGAAGAGAGGTAGAATCGATTTAGATGAAAACTGTTGGCTTTTTGTAATCTACTTAAATAATTATAAATTACCAGGTATTTTAATTTTGAAGTGAGCTACGAGTATTTTTAAATTTCAATATTTTATATACATATTATAACATGCTTCAAAATAAAAGTAGTAAAACTTATGATGCCAAATGAAAACGGCTGAATAGAAATGTTTGTTATACTCCTATAAGAAAACCTGTGGGTTTAACCTAACCTGTTCTTTAGTTTTTACAGAGTAAATTGTTACACAATATTAATATTGAATTTTTATTTAATATAATTATTTATAATGTTATTTTATTTTTATATTATAGAGAGAACTTGGTCTGAAATCAGCAAGTTGGGTCGATGATAACAATGAAGAAGAAGATTTCGATACAACTGTGAAGATACGGCCTACATCAAGAGATGTTACCATCATTGAAAATAGTCAAGAAAGCAACCAATCAATGAAATCTTTGGTAAATGTTTCTGTTCAAAATTTATCAAGTTCATCAAGTTCATCAAAAAGTGTTGAGTTATTTGCTGAATCTGATTGTGTAAACGATAAATCAGAAGAAGTCACAAATAAAGATTATAAACGTGAAAGTTTGGATCTTTTTGAAGGGTCATTTGAACATACTAAATATAGTATTACTGTAAATGTTAGTCAAAAACATAACTCAGATAATCTTAGTAACAAATCAATAAGTGATTCATATTTAGCCGAGTTAATTAACATCAAGACACCCAAAGAACTAGAAGAGAAATGGGATTGTAACATTGGAGGAGAAATTATTTTGGAAATGAGTCAAAGAGATTTTGGGTCCAAAAAACGAAAAAGAGAAGAAGACATTCAAACGGAAAACGATTGTTTAAATGATATTTTTATAGAACCTCGGCCAAAATATAAAAAAATTGAAGAACCCTCAACAAGTCTCAGTAAACCTCCCGAGATAAGTAATTCTTTTGAGAATACTATGTTTCCTGATTCAATAAGGATTGACACACAACTTGATCAACTACTGAATGGCAATGGCAAAACGAATACAACTTTGAACATAATATCTACAGAAATGAGTGAAAGTGTAATGCAACTGGCATTTCAAGATTCTTTTAATTCAATGTCAAATACGATAATATCTCCAAAGAAAAGTAATGTTGTTGTCATGACATGTAAAGATTTAACTATATCCGACTCGGAAGACATGATTGCAGGTTCTCAAGACACTTCATCTAGTGGACCGTCTCCTCACAAGTATGATTATGTGCTAGCTCCATAGGCGTAACCAGACCTTTTAGTTAGGGGGGCTGAAGTCCAGATATTTTTTGATAGTAAAATAGGATATCATATAGCCGCATTTTCCAGTTGAATAAAAGTTGATCATTATCACGATTAAAAATATAATATCCTAAATTGTGATCACTAACCCAACTTTGTTTATTATTCAATGTGGTGGGTAATCATTGTTGATGAATTCATGTTTATACTGTTAATTTTGTATTGACTGTAGATGATTTATCTTAAATTATCACTAAAAGTGAACTGTGTAATCGTGGTTTAAAATAGTCAACCACACACAAATATGATTGTATTACATATTTTCCCTGTCAGTTTATATTAATCATGAAAGGTATTTTAAATCGTTAAGCAAAAATTAAGTTTATTATATTTTAATATAAGTGAGCTTCAGCCCCCTCAAGCTACATATATGACTAATTATTGATTTTTTCTGAATCTTTAATGTATATTTATCTAAAAGTAATAAATAGATAATAACTGTTATTATTTATTATTGTTTTAGGGAGTCTCCAATTAAACCTGAAGCTAATGCCAATTCAAAATTTGATACATGGGCGTATAAAACTAAACTAATGGAAAATATTGATTTATTTGCCCGAGATCACTTTCCAGATATTAAGCGCAGAAAAGAAATAACATTAGCCTTGAACGTATCTACAGAAATTACTACAGAACAGAAAATTGGAGCTAGAATTGTTAGACGAAGTTTAGAAAATAATAATAATAATAATAATAATAATATAAAATTATTCAAATTTAATAACCAAGTATTAAAAGGATTTGCCATTACATGGTACAAACAAACTGTTGTACATTATGTAGATTTCAATAAGGCTGGTACGTTTCTTTTTATTGCTAAGAAATCTTATTCTAATATAAAATTTGTTTTCTTTTATTTTAATAGGTCCATCCGGTGTAAGTCTATTGAAAAAGCTGTTGTCCAATAAAAATTTAGTTGTTAACATAACAGATGCTAAATTAAGTTACAAAATGATCTCTCAATGTTGCAACATTAAACCGGTTTGCAAATTCAGAGACCCTTTTGTAGCTGATTGGCTAATAAATGGACAACAAAAAAACTCCTTAAATAACTTGGTAATTTGTATGCACTATACATTCATAATATAGTATTTACTATTTTAATATTTAAAAATGTTCTGTTTATCTATAAATCAATTCATAATTGAATTCTATTAATCATAAACAATTATGCTAGGTTCAATGGAATTTAAACTTCCAAGGCAAAATACAAACAAACGATGCAGTTTTTAATGCATTTATCACTCATAAATTAATGTCAACTTTAAAACATCAACTTAAACAAATATATATTTACAAAACATTCAAAGGTAAAATTATTTACATCAAAAAGTTCACATTAGAAAATATTTTTTATTCTCGCTATACCCTATAATATTTATTTATTAATTATTAATTCACCATTAGATATAGAGATGCCTATACAAATTATATTGGCAAAAATGGAACTGTATGGTTTTGGTCTAAACAAAGAACATTTGGTAGAGTTAAATGATACAGTAAATAAGCTAATGGCCAACATTTCTGAACAAGGGTTTGAACAATCTGGAACCAGGTTTAACATGCAATCCACATTAGAATGGGCCAAAGTAAGTGTTGACAGTTATTTTATTTAACAATAGATTTCACTATTAATATTTTGTTGACTAGGTAAAAAAAAGATTGAAATTAACTGATAGTTCTCCACATTTACTGGTTGAGTTGGTAAAAAATTGGCGAAAATTAAGCTGTCTTAGAAATTCTGTAAGTATAGTATAAGTAAATGTTTTGAAAGAAGTTCCTTATTAATTTTTTCATTTTGTAGCATATCAATGTGTATTTAACAATGCAGAATGATCGTGTTTATTGTGACAGCAATACATATTCTAATACAGGTAGAATAAGTATGCACGAACCCAATTTACAAAATATACCTAAAGACTATGTCATTGAAAATGATATATTAAGTTTGAGATCAGCGTTCGTACCAAAGTCAGGTCAGGTTTATTGATATTATCATTAAATATTTATTATTATTATTATCAATTGTTAGTAAGAAGCAATTTCTATACAAAAACAAACACAAGTCTAGCATGATTAAAATTACTAAATTTTTGGTTCAATTTATGTTTTGTATTTGTAGTAGCTGCTAAATATTTTGTATGGATTGGGTATAATAGGAAAATTGATCATGTTTTGTTGTTTTTGAGATTTCCAATAATTTATTTATTTATTTGGTTCCTTACTCATAGAATGTACACTAAGTTTATTTCCATAAGTTTTTGTCAAGGATACAATAAATCACTATCAATGTTACTAATAGTGAGCAGTCACTATACAATGCAATAATCTATGATCCAGGTTTAGTCTAATTAATAATTTTATTAGTTATGATTCTCATTATTAAGTATTGTGTAAATATTAATGATACATTCATATAGGCGTAACTAGTCCTTTAAGTTAGGAGGGAAGGTCCTAAAAATGGTTTTTAGCAAAATATAAAGTACCTATGGAACATAATTGCCTCCACACAGTTTTGATGTGTATGAATTATCTAGAAAAATTATAAGTAATATGTAGATTGATTAATTATTAATAGTGCCTAAAAATTCTTTGTTTTACCTGAATTCCATAAAAATATAAAATGTATATTGTACCTATAATAGTATAATATAATAATTAATAATATTCATGTTCAAAATACTTAACACATTTTTCTTAGAAGAATCCATTTTAAAGTCGTAACTTTTCTTTTTTATTATATTTATTGACTTTTAAATAAGAAATTATAACCATAACATTAAATGATTAAAACAATGCATTCAAATTTTAGTAATCTAGAATTTTACTCTGTCAGATACCTATATTAATTCCGAACTCTGCGTTATTTTACTTCAGTACCGCCAACACTGACTTCTGTCTATTTACTATTCGTTATAAAATATGCCCAAATCGTTTCTTCGGGATTCTTGTAGCTTTATAAATACAATACCATAATACGTTATAATTTACTCTATTATTTGTATGAAGTATACTATAAAGTACTATCAAGTCTTATGCCTAAAATATAAAATAAACATTTCTCCACTCGTCTATTCAACAACCTAAGTTAACAAATTTGGAGGACGAATGAACACTACTGGTAGCGCTGTCGTACTGATGGTTAGGCGGGTTCCCCCTTTCAGCTACTGCCCTCGAAAATATTAAATACAATTTGAAAAATGGATAAATAATTAATTCACTTCTATCTAAAAATGTAACATATTTAAAATAAAATATAAATGGATGTTTCTTAACTTTCTTATTATTAACTAATAATTACATACATTGTTAATCAGACATGAACATGTGTTGCAGCATCCTCGTCGTTACCTACTTGGCTACTTTGTTTAATAATATAAATAACATACAATTTTGTTAATCTATGCATATTTTTATAAGTTTTGCATATTTTAAAAATATTAAAATCATTATAGATCAAACACTGGTATCTGTAGATTTTTGTCAAATTGAACTACGCATACTCGCTCATTTGTCAAAAGATTCAATATTGTTATCTGCTCTTACGTCTCCTGGTGATGTTTTCATAAATTTATCGTCTAAATGGCATAAAATACCAGAAACTGAGGTATGTGTAAATATGTAACTGTATTTCTTAGGTTAGGTTAAGTTTTTTTGGTTTTTTTCTAAGAATATATTCTTATTTTGTGTGTTCAGGTATGTGATGAACTCAGGCAAAAAACCAAACAAGTTTGCTATGGTATGTTGTACGGCATGGGTGCAGTAACTCTAAGCGATACTTTGAATATTACTCAAGATGAAGCACATAAACTAATATCAGAATTCAAAAGCACATTTCCTGGTGTCAAAAAATATTTTAATGAATGTGTATCACAATGCAGGTCAATGGGGTTGGTAAAAACATTGAGTGGACGAATCAGACATTTTCCAGATATTAACAGCGAAGTACCAAAGATCAAATGTATGTTTTTATTCTTTTATTCTTCTATTTGCAAAATAATAAATTATAATTTATCATTATTATTATGATACATTATTAATAGCTCAAGTGGAACGTCAAGCAATTAATACAATTATTCAGGGAAGTGCTGCTGATGTTACAAAAATGGCAATGATTAAAATTGATAAAATTATCAACCAAGGTGTTCTCAATACACGTGTACATTTAGTTATGCATTTGCACGATGAACTAATTTTTGATGTAAGTATTATATGAATATTGTATTTACAATAGTTTTTTAATTGTATTCTATCATTAAGTTATTAAATTATTCTGTAATGTTTTCAGGTTGAAAATACAGTTCTTGATGAAGCTTGTTCAACAATTATTAAAACAATGGAGACTGCAGTTAATTTATGTGTCCCTTTGCCAGTAAAATTGAGAAAGGGTTCTTCATGGGGTGATTTAAAATAATGATCTCATTTTACAGTTTATTATTGTCAGCTGCTTTAATTAACACAAATATTTATTTATTTATTTTTATCAAATAAAAATAAATAAATATGATATCATGTCTTTTAGTCTAATAATGTAATTATCTCTGAAACAATTTTTTTTTAATGCACTGATTTTGTTAACTTTTTTTTATTATTTTATCACTTTCACTGTGTAATTTATGTTTAATTTAGTGTCATATTGTGCATGCTTTTAAATCATCGAAACACTTTAGTTGGACTGATTTAATTATTTATTATTCTATTTTAAAATAATTTTTTTTATCAAATATTTTGTTTCGTTTGATTTTCATATTATTGAATCAGCCATAGTCGCTATTGTGTTAATGTTAACTAGTCTTTAAAAAATCTTACTGTTTTCTTTTGATAAGATTGTACAATTTGTGTATTACTTTTAATACAGTTTTATTTACTCGAAAATATTCATTGTTGGGTTGTTAAAATAATATTTTTTAATATTTTGATTGGGATATAACTTATGTGATACTTAATTTAGAAAATTAAATTGTGTATAGCTATTAAACTATTATTATTTTAATATAACAATATTGATTGATCTACATATCTACTAAATACAAAAATAATACTCAATGCTTAAACTATTGACAATAATATATACTGTTATGCAGATAATAATATATGGAACATTATCGATTTAATGCGTAATGACTAATGACCATTAAAATAGGTGTTTTAGTGTTCCTTATTGTAAGTTTAAATTATATGTTTATTATTGTTTAGTTTATTTTGATATATAATGACTCAGATGGTTTTAACAAAAATAGACCATTTTTTTGGGTACTCAACCAAACTTACTGTTCCTTTCTGTCGTGGCAATCCTTAAAAAATAATAGGACATATTTATTTTGATGTATAGTTAATAATTATTTTTATAAATAATTATTATTTATCCATCAATATAATTTATCAATCTGACCTTATTTTGTAATCATTAAAAATTAATTTTATTACCTACTTATGTTCAGTTCAACATTGAATTTATTTGTATTTAGTCCTATACCATAATCTTGTTGCTATTTTTTTTATTGAAATTTAGTAAGTAGGTAACTACTAACTGTTTATTTTTACTATGTATACAATTTATGTATATCATCAACAATTAACATTTATAATTAGAGATTTCAAAATTGTTAGATGGTACCTAATACCTATAGAGTATAGATATTCTAATATATAAATGAGTAGGTAGTTGTCAGTTGGCTACGATTCACCAACATGCTCACCATCTTTGTTTTTAAAGACCTTATTTTAAAATAATTAAAATTTCTTATACTTCCTATTACTTAATTTAACTTTTATGTGTTTTATGTAGGTATACACAAGCTTATTTTTCAAATAAGTATTGTCATTTTCTACTTTAAATTATTTAGCAAATAATTTTTCTAAACATTTTTGATGTAACAAAATCAAAACTCAAACTAATAGTTTTTTATTTACCTATTTCTCTTTGTCCTTTGAGTACCTACTAACAGTTCTCAATTAAAAAAAAAACCAAACTTTGTATTGCCACAGGACACTCTTTGAGTAAGTACCTAGTACAAACACTTCTAGAATTTGAAAATATGGTCTTTACTCTTTAGTGTATTTAAAAATTCTAAAGTTCAGTAATTGAATAAATGCATTATTAAACGAAATAATGTGAGTGAGTACTGAGCATGCTTTGTGAATCACCTGGTATAACGTGACTACATTACAGTATTGTTTTGAAGACGAGTGGAAAATCATTGCATGACTGTATAAGACGTGCCTAAACTCTTATAATACACGGGGAATAGAGAAGTACCTATTTAGATGGCTTGGACGCGACCGCCCTAAGCGTTACCTAATTGTTATTTGTCAACAAATATTGTAAACTTGTTGGAAAACTTTTTTTGTGTTGTTCTAATGCACCGATTAAAGCACTGTATCCTCGGGGCTATGATCATATTCGTTGATAATAAAACATGTTTATTTTTTCACGTTGAATTTATTTTTCAGTTTGTTCTGTTTCACTTTTTAGTTTTTACATACCTAATGGCATAGAACAATAATAATGGCTAATGTAGTAACAGGACACGTACAATTTTTTTTTTACATTTATTATAACAAAGGGAGGAGAGGAAATTAGCTCCGAGCCGTTTAAATAATGAATTGGTAGGTACGTCTGCTTTGGTTTTGAATGATGATATTATCATTGTTGAGCCTAAATTAATGAAAACAAACAATAATGGTCAAACAACGGGCTTTCCATTTCACTGACTAGGTATGTTTTATGATATCTCGAAGTATACAAATCGACGGTCTTATGGCACATACAAATATTGTGATTGGATGATGTGTTGATAACCTTAAGTGTAAGACATAAGTTGTATTTAATATAATATTATGTTTAGGTATTATACCTGTACACCTGTACTGTATACCTATACTGTAAATAGGTTTAGAATATTAAGGCTGTAGTCTGTAGAAATTTCAGAATAACGTGTGTGCGTGTACAGCAGGAACCGCTATTGATCATCTACATACTTGGTAAAGTGGGAGTATCTAGAATTGTTATTTTTTTGGTGGAGGAGGTTAAAATTAATTTTATCTAAAAGTGATTTATTAATGAAGATGTTGTTATTATTTAACCATTTTTGGTCTGCAGGAGTATAACCCGCTTACCCTCCTCTGGATATTCCACTAGGTAGGTTTAACGTGGTGATCTTTGAAGCATGCTCATCCTATTTTTATGCTTAAACTAGGCATGTGTTAAAATTCATATTTTTTGGAATTTTTAAATACACTTGAAGACCATTTTTCGAATCATTGAAATTTTTTGTACCAGTGAAGGAGGATCCCGTGACAATACAAACTTCAGTTTTTCAAATAGTTCTCCCTTTTTCATTTGTAATTATTTAGCAGATATATTTTTTTAAGAATTTTGATGTAGGTATCTAAATCAAAATTCAAGCTTTTAGTTTTCGAGTTATGTAACTTTGTGTATAAGGATAATATATCTGTACTCTATAAGTAATGCGTTAAGTAAATATAGGACTTAGGCGATTTGAAAAAGTTTTTAATTACTATTGATTTGTCAATATAATTAATATTTGTAAAATTACCACATCTAGCATTACATTTAGTTCTTATTTTTATGAAACCGTTTTTAAGGATTATCATCCTTAGTATAAACATTTTAATAACTCAGAAAATGCTCATTGGAACTTTGATTTGGATACATCAATATTTTCAAAAAATTAATCGCTTAATCGAGTAGTCCAGATGCTGAGTGGGAAGATTGCCAGTAAAATGTGGTCGGGTTCGAATCACTTTGTTGTAGGATAAGGTCAGTAAACAGCTGATTTTTGATGAAATTACTATCGACTTGAGAAAACGACGGAGGGCAGCGGAAGTTGTCTGGTTTTAAGCTTGTTGGTGGAGATATCCATTAGAATAGCTTTAAGAAGACTTTAGAAAATAGATTTTGAGTTAGTGGTCAGCGGCAAGTAGGTATGAAATTCTTAACCTTGCATTTGATATATCTTAAATTACTATATTTTTGATTTCAAAATAACTGTGAAATTGATTTTTGTTCGATCTTGCATTTTTTTTTTTACTAAATTATCTTTGAAATTAGCCTTAGCGCTATACCCCAATCAATATTATGTCCTACAAAATACAATTTATAATATTATATAAATTACAATAAATACGATGATCATGTATTGCAATTATAAAAAACTAAAATTGTAAATGTGATTTTATATGTTTTGGTTGATCATGAGTTTTAATTTTTTATACAGCCTTTGAGCAAAATGGTTTTGAGACCCCTGAGTTATGATATAGATTCTATATTATAGAACGTAGGTAGTCTTATTATATTCAATATTGTAGCTGTTATCATGTAGAAAATTACGATGACCTCTAGCTGTACCAGTTTTGTCATAACAATTTGGATACTGTTGACTTCCAGTAACCCCAAATAGAGTTTATGGTTGGTAAGTAGTAACTACCTATACACTATACAATATGGACTGTGAGTGCGACTAATGTTATATTTTATATGGTATTATGGTTAGTAGCTTAGAACAAGTGGATTGGAAAATTAAATCTATTAAGTATTAACCATTTGAAAATTGGGGATATATTTCTTATAACAGTCCAATGCGTGTTTATCTTAGATAATCGGTATATTTATTAATAATTTATCAATAGTAACATATAACATTATATAGGTAATAGATCATCATTTTTTTTCTGTTAAACTCTATGGACATTCATATTTTATATAATATTTAGATATATAGTTCTTCTTCTATAATATTATTGGTTTGTTTCACTTATAACAAATTGCTAACAATGATTGAATTTTATATTAGATAGATCTTGAATACGATAAATCTACGATAACAAAATTAATAAAAATATTTATATTATTAATAATAAATTTGTATCTAATTTTTTATGATTACTATATATATATGCAACTTTTTTTGATTTACCTACCTTTATATTTTATAGTTTTTTTTCTTTTAGACAGTGAATAAATACAAAATAATTGATAAATTATAATGGATTCGAAATTAGATGTCCTATATTTTTTTCATTAAATTATTGTAGAACGATATTATTATTTGAGTAAATACATTTTATAACGAATTGATTATTAAATATAATTAAAAACCAATTAATAATGATACAGAATTGTAAGTAAGAAAGCTTGGGGCGTCATTAATAATGGAAATTATTGTGTACACGACTGTGACGCAGAGGATGCTGATGCAGGGAAGTTGCATATCGCGAGTGAGACAATCGAGAGAGAATTTCTAAGGCAGAAAGATATTCTCTACAAAGGGAGTGGGAAGGGTGATCAAATAGAGTTGGCGGCGTGGGTCACAGCTGATAGCAATTATTTCATCTACTTGAAGACGAAGCTGGAGTGTATAAATGAAACAAGTTAAGGAAATAATACAACTGTAGAAATATGATATTAATAAACAGGTAAGATATATTATATAATATTATATATCGAAACGAACTCAAACGACTAGCTATACCTACCT